CGTTGCTATTGTTTTTTTTACAGTTCCGGTTTCGAGACAATTTCGGGCCCCACCCTAAGTAACTTATATTAGCCAGCTTGTTCACATTACCTAGCAGCCATCTGCTTTTCGATCCCTTCATTTCTAGTTTTTCTGAACTTCCATGCTGTTTGTTGTGCGTATGACTATCTGCAAAGGGGAGGGACGACGGACTGTGTGGCTAGATTGGTACAGCCTGTTTCAGGTTAATTCAGTCCCCGTTGAGTCGACCATAATTCTGACTAACAGCTGGCACAGAAAATAAAAACCTGCGCTCGTACACGGCTCAGGCTGTTCACCGAGGGAGTCTAGCAGATGGTTCATTAGCACCTAATCGAACCGAACTTCCTCAGTGCCTCGCCACCTAATGAAAGTTTTTTGACGCTGGCATTATTTATCTTTCTTCTGGAACTCTATTTTCAAAAGGCCTAAATGCTCTCAAATAAAGCAACGTTAGGATTAGTATCTCGAATTGAATTTTGTTCGAACGAGGTAAAGATCACGGGATTTGCAGAATTTTCCTGACGTCATATAATTTCGCGACTTCCTATTCAACTGCAAACGATCGTTGCCTATTAGTAAGGTAAATTACAAGGTCATAAAATTATATGACGTCAATAAATTCTGCTTATCTCGTGATCTTTGCCTTGTTCAAATTTCTCCCGGCAAAGCAATGTTTGAATCTTGTTCGTTTGTTTTTGATGCAACCTGGCTTATCTGCTGACCGTAAGAGGGTACTATCTCACCACAGGTTCAAGTGGATACTGACAAATACTTGTAGCCTTATTCCTTCTAAGAAGCTTGGATATCTTTTCTTGATATTGCAGAACAATCCTTGCATTATAGTGGACTGAAAAAACGGGCTTTTGTTAGTCTTACCTCCATAGCAAACTGCCTTCTCACTTTTGAAGACACTGCAAATAATTGCATGCAGTTAAAGTTGTCAAAGGTGAGGGCATAGAACAGTGGAACTATCAAATCCATCTGCCGTTATAAGTAAACGGCTCGCGGGCCAACCAGTTGAAATTTTAAAGTAGGTTGCTCTTTTGGTCTCGTGTCCTTATGGATAAATATGTAGATTTAGCCCCTGAAGACTTCTCATGCACTGTTAATTTACCTTCCCCCCGACTGATGATGCACTTGAATGAAAAGTATGCTTGTGAAGGCAAACCTGAAATATATCTTTCCCATGTCTAGGATTGACTGAGTTGGTGGAGTGCATCTTACGTCTTTCATCTCTCCAGTAAACTTTGCCTAGTTCCAGGCCACTCCGGTCACCTATAAAGCACATTTGCCTTTTGCGTTACTGCGTTTATTATGAATTGAAAGGCACCTTTTTAATCGGATGAAATTTATTGCTGCGAATCACAGGATTACGTTTTTAGCGTGATTTTTCACGAGGACATTGGAACTATAACTGCCTAACTGTCCTTAATTTTGGAGTAAATTAGCTCCTTCCCCAGCATCCCCAGCCGTTTTCACAATCTGCACCCACTGACATATTCAACACCCTCTTTCGCCATTTCGATGCAGAAAGTAGATATTGTCTTTTTTCCTGTCATTTCACTGCCCTCGGTACGCCCATTACTGTCCGGTCAAAATATGTTCATGTGTTTGAGCTAACACGATCTCAGGTTCCCACGACTTTTTCAACCATTGGTTGAGTCCGATCTTCTTTGCTGCGAAAGCAGTACTTTTACATGAAAATCTTAGCATCAGGCCAAGTGTTTGCATTTCCCTAACAAGACAGGAATTCCTAATGTCCTCGCCTGTCTTCATCGTTTGTCACCAGCCTTGCATATTTTGTTATTTTGGCCAAACGCACTTGATCGCCTACTGAAGGCTTTTCTAATCCCCCTACCCCCGATTGATCACCTGGGCGCTGGCACTCCCGTTTCTAGTACACACTGAAATATTTATTTTTTTTTCTCGAAAACTCCATACTTACAGTAGGTGGACAAT